AATTGATAGGCTGGAGTTAAATGGTAGGGGAGGAGGGCTTCCTCTTTCTGAGAAATAGGGGCGGGAATTGAGGGGGGAAGAGGGAGGCAGGGTGCGCCCAAAAGGAGACATGGGAGGAGTCTACAATAGGGATGTAAGGTGAATAAATTATAAAAAAAAAATAAATTTAAATGAAAAGAAAAAGAAAAAATAAAAACGACGAAGGCCAAAAGACAAGACCAATTTAAAAGTCAGTATCTGTAATAGTAACTCTGGAATTGTTGAACTCACTGTGATAGACGACATCAAAGTTGGACAAAGCTGCCAGAGTTACTGTGGGCCTTGTGAGCTGCTATAAAGAACAGACAAAATTTTAAGTTCTCTTAGAAGTACAGAGAAAAGAAGCCACTACACCTTGTTACTGTAGTTGTGACACCACAGCTGTCATTACCTGGCCAGGCAGGAAGCTATGAATGAACTATCCGTGTAACCCTGGGTGACTTTTCTCTTTCACACCTTTTGGAGCGGATGTCCAGAATCATCTGACTCCTGCACTGCAATGTCTCCTTGTGGGTTGGATGGCACTTGCAGAGTGATTCACCCACTTAACCCGATGGGCATCCCAGGAAATTGTCCCTGTTTATTGCCGTTTTCAAATGATGGAGAAGCACAAAATAATGAGAGAGAAATAATTATTTTTACTATCTGATCCCAAGTGTTAAAGAAGCATCGAATTCTTAGAGGCCGCCCCAGCATTTGCAAATTTAATGCCCTGCTGAAGATGCAAACTGTCTCCGTAACTGCTCTTGAATTTCATTAAAATTAATCGGAAGTCCCTTTTAATGTTTTTGAAAATTGCTTCAAGTGGCAAAAATCAGAAAAATCTACCCATGGGGCACATTCAGCTAATTGCAATTTACTTCTGAACTAGTCGGTCTTCAGCTGTATGCCGCAACTTCATAAAACTCAAACAACTCTGGATGACAGACGCCAGACAGACCGGACGTGCACCTAGGTGCAAAGGATTTTAAATGACCCTCCATTTATTTAAGATTTCTTTCTGAAAAATTAAAAAGTGTTGTTTTATGTGTATGACTATTTTGCTGGCTGCGTGCACGTAGCGCGCATGTGTGATACTCGTGGGAGCCAGAAGAGGGCATCAGAGCCCTCGGAAGTGGAATTACAGACTGTGAGTGCTGAGAATTGCACCCGAGTCCTCTGGAAGAGCAGCCGGTGCTGTTAGCTCAAGTGCCATCTCTCTAGCCCCTCTGCAATATCACCTAACAACACAGAATGGGGCTGTGAACTGAACTCAGATGCACGAGTCTCTGTATACGGAGTCACGTTGCGTTCCCTCCCAGCTGATACCGTGGAACAAACTGGGAACCAAGGGTAAAGGAAGCAAGAAGAGTGGAAGTGATAGAGCGTGTGTCTGTCTGTGTGCGTGACTTAGGTTAGACAAACTACGATGCATAAAGTTTATTTGTGGAATCAAAGTCATACCCTAACACTTTCCAGCTAAATTACCCTAAAGAAGTCACGACATAATAAAACAGGAAAGAAGGAAGATCAAATGATGTTTTCCTCGGGATTATGTGGAGCCACAGATAGAAGATGGTATTTTGTAAATAAATGGCAAAGGCAAACCACGTGTGAGCAGTGCTAAAGAGAGTCTAGTATTTTAAAAATGTAACCGTCAGGACAAGTCACCATGAAGATGACAGCCCATGTATTCAACGGAAGATATAGGTTTTACTCACGTGGTTTGGTGGCAGTTTCCACTAATGTAACTACCTGAATTAGGATGTCATTTTCATCTTGCAATTATGAGGAAGACAGTCAAGTTTGGGATTAAAAATTCATCTATCACCTCTTTCCAAGAATCTCTCCAAATCTTCCTGATAAATTGAAAAGTGTAAAATATCTATCAGAATAGAGTGTGTTGTGGATTGGACCTTTGTCTAAATAAAAAATATTCAAACAATAGTTGCTTGATTTTTTTTAAAAGTACCGATTAGTAATATTTGTGAGAAACGTTTAGTTAGGCATTGTATTTTAAAGCAGGTGTATAAAAGTTTTCCTGAAAAGTTCCAGTGTCAAGTAATAACACTGAAAAGAAAACAAGTATCTGAGTAGGCACCAATATGTCCTTAAAAATTGTGCTTTTGAGAGTCTTTACTTCCACTGGAAAGAGCTGCTTGGGGTTGTTTGGGAGAGCAATGTCTCATATCCCTGGTGTCTGTGAAGCAAGGATAGCCATCTAATTCATCATTTTCATACTTTCAGCAAGTAGAACTCACCAGCAGCAGCCTTTACTTTCACATAACATTTCTTAAGGCATCAGTTCAAAGATACCATCAATTATAGACATCTTGTTATTGTAAAAAATAAAAGAAAATGCTGCAAATCTAATTGCCACAGTGCTGTCAGTTGTCAGTTATATCCTGAGAGGGCATGTTAAGGGTGCAAATTTTTTTTCCCTGATACTCAAAGAACTATGACAAGAGAAAGACACACAGATCAAACCCAGGCAATTGGGATCCAGAGAATAATTGCCATAATTATGTTATTCTGCCTCATAAAAGCTATTCAGGCATACAGTGTAGAACACTACAAATTCACGGTCTCATAATTTTCTAAGTCTTTACTTTTGCTTTTTAATCCCTGTCTATTCTCTTATTTTGTCTTCCTGCTCTTGCCTGCAATGGATACTATAAAGCTTTTCTACTCTTTCTAGATTCCCTACTTAACGTTTGCCTCCTTTAGTTTTGACCTTCAGTGAGAAAACTGAGGTCATTGGTTATTGCTCTTAGCGGCTTCTTCCCTGTCCTTCCCTGCCCTGGGTACCCTTTCTTCTTTCCTGTTTCAAAAGGCAGGCTGATTGCCCATGTCTTAGGTGTTGGCTCCTCTTTTTTTTTTTTTTCTTACCCATCTGTTTCTCATTTTTGATGATTTTAGTCACCCTTTCCTGAGGCTCAACCTTTCTTCTTTATTGGTTCTCTACCTCAGCTGTGAGTATGACATGATCCGATCCCTAGCCTCTCTTCCCTTCACTCTCCTTTGCATCAAAACTCTATATGGAAAGGCTCGGGTACTGCCATCATTTCCTAACTTTCCTTCCCTGTCTTTACTTGCCACAACTCCAAAGACACTGAGATGAAATTGCTCTTACTATTTTCATCAGGGACCTTCTATTTTCCTAGGTACAGTAGACACTTCTTTTCCCTTCTTTCTATTGGCATCCTTTACTGAATCTGGGAGATTTAGTTGGCTTCTTCCTACTTGGTGAAAATCTTTACCATCAGCCCCCAAGTGTTCCACACACTGCCCCCATTCTTTTAACCATTTTGTTCCTCAGATATGTAACCATTGGCCTTACCCACAATTTTTTTTCTGCTAGTCTACTGTTTTTTTATTTTCTACTGTTCACCTACTTTCTATAATGTTTTGATGGTTTAAACAATTGCCTGTATTTGATGAGATCCAAAATCCAGGCTTCTTAGCCACCTCACATGTTTTTCTGTAGTTGCTACATCTCTGCCTATACAGAATCTTCATTGGATGCCGCTCCTACCACCGTTAATATGTACAAGACCCAACCCCCTGCTTTCCCAAATCTGCTCTTCAAATCATATTTCCTCTAAGTCAATGGTAACTCCAAACCTCCAATTATTCAGTCTCTGATCTGATGTTAGCTTTAACCTCTCTCTTTTACCTGCTTTCCCTATTCAGTCCATCAAAACATTTTGCTTTTAGTACAATAAAAATAAAAATAAAAATAAAAATAAAAATAACAGGAGTCTGATCCCTTTGATAGGTTCCATTGGATCTCTTTGTGTTCACAGGCTGGACTAAAATGCCCACTTTTCTGGTAAGGATGCCCATAAGGATGTAGGTTCCTTGAAATCCAGGAAGCAAAACCACAACCCCGTCCGGGCAGCCACTGGGGGCAAATGGAAGCAGGCATTATTTATCTAGTTTAAAGATGGAAACCGAAGCACGCTCAGTCCAGCTGAGAGAAGAAGGGAAAACTCTGGACCCCTCTGGACTTCTTCGGAGCTCTTCCTAATGTTATCTCTGGAGGAGGCTGGTTTTCTGAGCCTTCCATAAACCTCACCTTAAGGCCTCTGGGTAACCATGGATACTGTCAAGGTGGCACAAAAGCCTTCTGGTTAATGGAGAGTACAAGAGTTTTTTAGGGTGCTAGGAGACCTTTAGGAAAGATGTGGGAAGGAAGGCCCCTAGCCTGAGAGCATTTAGCTGGAAATGTTTCAAAGTGGTCGCTAATGCCCAGCAAGGCCCTGGAGAAGTGATGGGCTGCATTCTGGACTACGATCTTGACTAGATGGAAGGCAAAGCAGAAAGAAACCCAACCAAGCTGCTTCCCATTTTTGGAGAGTGAGGATTTCTGGGGGAGGGGATGGTCAGAGGGGAAAAATAAGGACGCTCCCAGCAGCCCATGCTAAAAACAAGGACTCCCTAGCTCAAACAAGGACAAGTTCATTGTCTCCCATAGTTTTTCTCCTGTACATCTATCTCAGGACCCTAGTGGGGTAGGAGAAGTTCCCACTGTGCTGGAGTCGGGAATTCGCACTTTTTCCTTCTCCGGACCCTAAGATCTCACGCACTTTGAAACTCAGCCGAAGCAATGGTGGGAAGCCTGGTCGGGGCCTCCGCTCCCCTACACAAGCGTCAAGCTGAGCCCCAACTTAGCATCACTGTGACTGTTCCGGATAGGTGGGTCCTGAGAACCTGGCCACAAAAAAAAAAAAAAAAAAAAAAAAAAAAAAAAAAAAAGGCTGCTGGAAAAGGAGGGTGGGCGTGGGCCAGTGTCAGGGAGGGCGCCTGCAGCCAGGGCCCTGCCTTCCGGACTCCAAACCTTTGCGGGGGAGGGCAAGGAGAGTTCTGGAGGCTGGAACCGGGACTTGGGGGCGAGAAGCAGCGGCAGTTTGCAGGTCCTTTGACGTAGCCGAACACTCCCACTACTTAAGAACAGGCACGCTGGCTTCCAGGACACGGAAGCTGAGGACAGTCACCTGCTTTGGGGGAGCAGCCTGAGTGCGTCCTCTCCCAGCACTCGAGGGATCGCGGGCAACGCAGGTGAGCGCGCAGCGGTGCCCTAAGGACCCGCAGCAGAGGCGCGGAACAAAGAGGTGAGTGGCGCCGCCGCGGGAGACCCTGACCCTTGAGGCTCTTTCTGGGGAGGACGAAGCAGCAGCGAGAGCAGGTGCCCAGCACTGGGCTCCCAACGGGGCGCACAGCGGGGACTCCTCTTCCGTTAGCTCTGAACCGGGGACCTTTTTTGAAGAGTCTCTAGCAGCTAGGTCAGTACCAGCTCGGGAGAGTGGCAGGACAAGCCAACTTCAGTACCCCGGACAGCACCCCCTGACTTTGTCTTCTAAAAACTTCACCTGATTTTCAAAGCTGCAACGTTTGAACAAAGATAACCTTTGGCTGTTAACTTTGATATTTCAGCCCAGTAAAATCTTTTCAAGTAAAGAAAAATCTAAAAACGTTCTAAAACTAAGCCACTTTCTGAGTGATCTGCTATTTCAAATGTGACCCTTTCAAGACTAGGTATGTCCGAAGACGGACTCTGAACCATTTCTTCAGCGTTTGTCTCCTTTGTCCCGGTGTTGAGCAAAAGAAAAAGAGCCTGCCTTCTTGTATTATAGTTACTAATTCTGATGTGGAGGTGAGCAATGTGTGAGCCCCTCTACTTTTCCTCTCTTTATGTCCAACTGCTTAAACGTGATACACATTTTGTATAGTTGGAGAGTAATCAAAAACTTTTGTGTGGGGGGGCAGAAATGTCATATAAGATGGGGGGAGTATAATTTCCCACTGCATTTGTCTGAAGTGGCAGCATAAGAGCCAATTAGAAAAGACATGTGATTGTTCAGATGATTTTATTACAATAGACATTGAGAGCTGGGAAAGTTGAAAGAGAGCAAACTATCTCTCTTCAGCTCCTTGAGACTCATTGCAAGCAGAGAGAAATTAGACACCATTATCTTTATTAAAGCCATATCAGGATTGCATAACATTTGTGCTTGCAAAATGTCCATCAGGTTTACTTTGTCCTTTGGTCCTAAAATACATTTATCCACAAGTAAAGCATCAATCGTGTGTTTATTTCTATTGTAATGTTTCATACGCCTAATATCTTTTAAAAATTAAAAGGTTCTATGAGCAGGAAAGCATGCAAAGCAAGGACAAAGCGTTAAATTCTTAGCAGTAGTGTAGTTTTGTGTCACCGTGGCTAGGTTTAAGATGTGAAAAATTCATGTGGCAGAATTTTAACTTTCACATAGTATGTTTTTAAAGAATACATTAAGCTACATTCCAGTGTAGACAGCTTCACTTGCTATCTCACAAAGAACACATCTTGGGAGTCCTTCTTAGCTGAACTATTTTAGTTGTACACAACTTGGATTTGAGCCAGGTGCAGTGGTGCATACCTGTAATCCCAGCACTCTGGGAAGCAGAGGCAGACAGATCTCTGTGAGTTCAAGGCCAGACTGGGCTACAAAGCAAGTCCAGGACCAAAGCTACATGGAGAAACCCTGTCTCAAAAAAACAAAAAAACAAAACCCAAAACAAAACAAAAGCCTGGACTGGGAATGGATCATCTAGGGAGAGCGAAGCTTCCAACATGGGAAGAAGGTAAAACTCTTCCTAATTAGTAATGGTTGTTGCATTTCTTCTCCTGAGGCTGAAACTTCCCAAGAGCACACTCATTTCTCTCACTGAGTGGCAAACAAGACTCGACTGATGTGCTTCCATGTTTACAGTTGCAGGACCATGGCTGATCCTGGGAACGGGCGAGGAATCCACCTGAGTCTCGCCTGCTCCCTGCTCATTGTGGGACTGTGCCACGTGTCTCCTGTCTTCTGCCGCAGTCACACAGACCTGCTGGCTCTTAACCAAGCTGACCCTCAGTGCTGGGAGTCCTCCTCCATGCTCCTCTTGGAAATGCAGGAGCCTCGTGTTTCCAACACCGTTTCTGGCTTTTGGGATTTTATGATCTACCTGAGGTCATCTGAGAACTTGAAGCATGGGGCACTGTTTTGGGATCTAGCGCAACTCTTCTGGGACATCTATGTGGACTGTGTCCTCTCCAGGAACCATGGCTTAGGAAGGAGGGAGCTGGCTGGAGAAGAAGACAAGGTCTCAACAGTGCTGCGGAGGCACTCAGAGGCTAAGCAAGGTGCATAGCCCTGGCCTGTTGAATCTGTCTATCAAGTGTGAATGTGCTAATGAGTGAGGAGGGAAGGGTCCCTAGGGGAAGCCAGTATCACAAGGTCCTAAAGAGGTGGATATCAAGAGGGCTCAAATAACAGAATAGTTGTTTATGGCAACATAGTGTGTTCGCCCTGATGTTTAGCGTGAAAAGTCATTAGGAAGAGTAAGTAAGTAAGTAAGAAAGAAAGAAAGAAAGAAAGAAAGAAAGAAAGAAAGAAAGAAAG